GTCTGTCCTCGTGAGATGCACATTCAGGCAAGGTGGGATAATCTATCTATCTATCTATCTATCTATCTATCTATCTATCTGTCTGTCTGTCTGTCTATCTATCTATCTATCTATCTATCTATCTAGATACAGTAGAACATTCTCTTAACTGGGTACCATTATAAAGTATAAATTATGTCTTCTTAGAAAAATCATACCTTTTTGAGAATCATACCTATAGTGTTATATAGCATCAAAAGTAGTCCCTGGGAGAGCAATAGGTTTTGTGATTTTATGACTAATGTGTTTCACCCCTGTGAAGAAAGTTAATAAAACCATTTCTTGATCTTTAAGAGCAAATTTGACTTTGAGTTAAATTTCTTGCTTATTACTCTGGACACCTGATGAAGGTGGCCTCTCTTCTGTGTCACTAGGCCAACACTGAGCTTATGGTAAAAAGTGACCTGTGACTGTAGGTAGATAAATTGTATGTATACTAGGAAGGACTATATGTGAACTATAAGCCATGTATGATCTTTCTTCAATGTAGTGACTCTTATAACTCAGCTCTTCTTTGTGGGGTCCCTGAAAGTTACAACTACAGAGTTGTTACATGAGACGTTGACTCCCATGAACTTGGGATGGCCAAATCACAGTGGATCCCACGACTAAGCTGTCACTAGTGGTGGGTGGTAGTCACCTTGGTGGACTGCTGTGTGGACAGCTGCAAGGGGTTCCACAGAAGAGCAGCAACTGATGCTGCCCTGTTGGGATGCTGAGTTTCTTGTCATTTGTCTCTCTAAGTAGGTCTCATGCCACCATGGCTCTGGTTGTCCTGTGACCCTAAATGCCTAGTTAAGCAGACCTGCAGGTGGGTGTTTATATTGTAGCCATTTTATCAAAAACTTTGAGAGGCTCATGATATGTCTGTTTTCTTAACTGCTATATCCCTACTGCCCAGCACTATGAGTGGTACATAGTAGGAGCTAAATATATACTTGACAAAAAAGTTATTCCTGTACAGCAAGAGGTAGATAATAAACTAATTACCATTTTCAAATCCTTTATAAATATTATTTAAGGCAGGGTATTCCTGTTTGTTGTCCTCACTGAATAATGCTTCCAGGAGTGATAGGTCAAATGTCTTCTCCAGTTCTTCGAGCACATTGTACACCACTCTCTGTACAGGGACCAGGTTTCTACAAGATTCTTGACAATCCTAAAAATAATACATGGAGAAAATATAAATAGGGACTTCCAAGTTACAGAAGAGCCCTAGAAAGTGATTTTTGTTGTTGCTAATCCTCACCAGAGGATATTTTTTTCCATTGCTTTTCAGAGAGAGTGGAAGGGAGGGAGGGAGTGGGAGAGGGAGAAAGAAAAAAATCATTGATGAGAGAGAGATACATCGACTGGTTGCCGCCCGCAGGAGTCCTGACTGGGGCTGGGAACCTGCAACTCAGGTATGGGCCCTTGTCCAGGAATCAAACCTGAGAGCCCACAGAGCTCAGGGAACGCTCTAACCATTGAACCAGTCAGGCCATAGCTAGAAATTGATTTTGTTGTAAATGTGTTACAATTTTCCGCATAGGTATTTTTTCATGTAAAATTTAGAATTGTTATATATTTGTACGACTACTAAGTGATTGTAACATAATAAACCTCACTTACTTCATACATTTTATTGGTGATGAGTTCACGGTCACGAAGAATCTGAAGGAAAGGAAATTCCTTTTGTATTGCTCTTGAAATCTCCACCTTATTTCTTTTGAAGTGATTGAATATAATATCGTAGATAGAACTGTCGTCTATGCCCTGGTCTTCTGTGGACATCCTAGGGAGAAGGGATACCATGTGAAAATGTTATCAAGATTCTGATATGCTTGTGGAAGCAGTTAAGAGAATTATCACCTGTGTTATAAAACTAGTTCATAATTAAAAAGTTGTGGTTTGATAATGATATAGAATAAATTTAGCATTTCACAAGAATATCACCATTTCTTCTGGGACTTCTGCTTTGTGTTGTTATAAATCTATCTCTGCTTTGTTATATATGGTGAATTTTTTTATGCATCTAAACTTCAGAAATTGCTGTTGTTTCCAGTGAAATTAATTGTAAACCCGAGTCTGCAATTCTGGTTCTTAGTCGATCATTTTATTACTATAACAATGTTTTAACCAACATCTTGTATTTCTAAATGTTATGAAGACTCATAACATATTTTTGTCAAACCAGAAAAGTACCCAGTAGGCATATACACATCGGGTAATAATAATGTCACATTATTGTTCCAAATTCCTGCAAGAAAATGTTTCTGGTTAAGGATGGGAGATGAAGAGAAGCATTTGTCTTCTCTTTTATTGAAAACCCTATTAAAATGATAATGAGGGAATGTAGGTGGAGGATACTCCTAGCGGCGAGGAAAGCAACAGCATGCCCTGCGGAATCCTAAAGGCAGTGAAAATTGGAATGGGAGACATGGTGCTTAATACCAACATGTCATTTGAAAAATGAAGAGCAGAACAACTCCACAACCCACAAGCTGACCGCTGGAGCCAGGCAGCTTCTCAGAGGCAAACATTGCAGTCCTTTTACCACCGTATGTTAATGTTGCCTGTTACTGGATTTGTACATGGAATAATACATTGTGTATGCTTATGTGTCTAACTGCTTTTATTTATTATCTGTGTTTTTGGGTAATTAGAAGTTTGTTCCTTTTTATTGTAGAGAATACTCCATAGGATGTTTTTACCACAATCTGCTTATTTATTTTCCTATTAATGAACTTTTGGATTGATTCCAGTTTGGGACTAGTGTAAATAAAGCTGCTCTGCTTTTCATTCCTCTTGGAGAAACAGCTAAAATTAGAATTGTTAGGTCATTGTGTAGCAATATGTTTAACCATTACAGTATCTACCAAACTGTTTTTCAAAGTCTATAAGATATACCCTTTCCAATTTTAGTCATTCTAATGTGTGATGTGCTATCTCAAATAGCTTTAATTTGTATTTCTTTAATGACTAATTATAATGATCACATTTTCATATGCTTATTGGCGATTCATGTATCTTTATGTATTATGTATCTTCATGTAAAGTGCCCGTTCAAGTCTTTGTCCTATTTAGATTATTGTGCTGTCTTTTACTCCTTATTGATGTGTAGGAGTTTGTAATATATGGCAGAAATAAGTAGTTTTTTTTTTCTTTTAGTTTTTGTTTTTGTTTTAAGAGGTTATATGCCTGGAATCTTAGGGCAAATATGCTGTTAGCAATTAAACTGCACAACCCCTACCTCTGACCTCCACCCCCACCCACCACCACACACACATACACACAAAGTTAATCATGTTCACTCCATGGGCCTAGTGAGCTGTCAAGCTGCCTTCTCCCATCAATTTTATTTGCAAATGCCAACTTTGGTTCCAGCTTATATCCTTCCTAAAGACTTAATTCTTCCCCCACCACCAATTTCAAGAGCACTTCCTCCATTCCTTTCCTATGGCACTATACCCTTCCACTCCTTTTCACAAATCCTAATTTTTCCCACTAGTCTCAAGTTAATGGGAAGTCTATTTGGTTCATCTGGGCCTACAGAACAAAATGCAGGGCTTGGCATGCAGCAGGCCCATAAATAATCCTATATAATAAAGAGGTAATATGCAAATTAACCCTCACACCCTCACAATATGGTTGCCTATGGCCAGGCTGGCAAGGAGGAGGGGGGTTAGTGAGGGATGACCAAACTACTGAATAGCAGGCTGCATGGGGCGACCAAGCTGGCGGGGGGCCGTGAGAGGGGACCAGGCTGGCAGGGGAAGGCAGTTAGGGGTGACCAGGCAGGCAGGCAGGGGAGTGATTAGGAGCCAGTGGTCCAGGATTGTGAGAGGGATGTCCGACTGCCAGTTTAGGCCCCATCACCAGGATCAGGCCTAAACTGGCAGTCAGACATCCCCCAAGGGGTCCTGGATTGGAGAGGGTGCAGGCTTGGCTGAAGGGACCCATCCCCTGTTTGCAAATTTTGTGCACTGGGCTTCTAGTTGATGAAATAAAGCACCAAGGATATTTGTCCCTAGAGGCTCAGCTGATAAAATATGGGAGGAATTTCCTGTTAAAACCTTGATAACTGCACACAGGCAAAACTGTAAAATTTGGTATGAAGAGGGGTTATGAGGAGGGGTGAAGAAGGGAAAACAGGTACAAAAGTGCCTATGATCTGTGCATTGTTAGGTAACAATAACCTGAGGAGTTATCCATCCCCATCTCTTGGGCTTGGAAGTAGAGCAATGAACTGACAAAGGGCTGGGGCCAGAAATTAAGTAGGAGGGGAAGCCCTATCACATGCCTTTCCTCACCCCCTCCCACACCCCCGCACAACTTCTGCTGAAAGGAGTTCGCTCTGTCAGCTTCATTGGGGGACCTCTAGGGGACAGTGCAGAGATGAGTCAGGGGTGCACTTGAAAGTCATAAAATGTTATGGCTGCACTCTGGCGGCTTTTACCAAAGGATGGAAAAATATGTGGGTATGGGCGCTAGAGGCCAAAGGTTAAGGATGCAAAGCAGATGGCATTCAGGGCCCGCACGGCTCCTGGGAGCCCATGCGCCCAACGCCCAGAAGAAGGGCAGAGTCTTGGGCTCCAAATCCGATCTGAAAAGATCTGCGAACCCACCCCCAGGCTCCCTTCCCGCACTGGGTTTACACCAACTTGCCCAGGGCCGGCCATTTCCTCAGATGGAAGTGCGAAGGGATCCCTGCCCTCGCACCGCACCCACCATGTTCTCCGAGGCACCATGTTTGATTTATGTATAGGAAATATTTTCTGCCAGTTTGCCCTTCATTTTCATAACTATGTGTTTTGATGAGGAGAAATCTTTTTGATGAAGCCAAATCTATTTTATGTGTGGTTAATAACTTTAGTGTAATAAGAAATCTTTGTCTACCCGAAGTTAATGAAAATATTCAAAAAACCATTTACATATAAGCATGGGTATATTTCTGGATTTTTCTCTTCTGTGCTACCGATCTATTTGTCTATCCTTATGCCAATAGCATATCGACTTAACTACTACAGGTTATGGAAGGTCTTGATGTTAATTAGGTAAAGATTATTTTGGTTTTCTAAGTCTTTTGGCTTTCCACATATCTTTTACTTATTTTTTATTCCCGTTTTTTTTTTTTTTTAAATCTAACAAATGTTTATTGAGGGCACTGTCCTTTTGAAAAATATTGTTTGTATTGGTTTCAGGTGTACATCATAGTGATTAGGCAATCATATACTTCACAAAGCATTCCCCCAGATAGTTCCAGTACCTATCTAGCACAATATCTTTTAAAATCAATTTGTCAAATTTTATAAGAAAAACTTTTTGGATTTTTATAGCCTTTTGCATTTTGAAACCATAGAGAAATTTGATGAGAACTGACATTTTAACAATATTAAACTCCAACCTACTCGTATGCTTCCAATCCTGTAACCTAGCTCTAAGGAGTAAGAACTACTTCTTAATATATTAAGTCAATTATTTGTGTATTTTATTTAGTTTTTATTGTCATATTCATTGTCTGTCTTCTTTCAAAAACATATATGCTATAAGCATAGGGATTGTGTCTGTTTTGTCCTTTGATTTTTTTAGGGAGGTACTTGATACACATAAGTTGATAATCAATATTTATTGGTTAGATGCCCATAAGTACAAAAGTTTTTGTTGAAGCAAAATATAACCATAACAACATAATACTGATCCACCACACCTAAAAACAGTTTGATGGTTCATTCAGCTAAATGGTTGAGTAAATTATGGTAAATTCATATTGCTGGATACATAATTACTTACTTCTAGTATTTGAATGGAAAGGCATAGTTTTATTGATGAATGAAAACATAAATTGCATATTAATATGTTATGATCCCATTTTTATACAAATCAAAGTAATATAAGTCTTTTATTTGTGTGTGAAGTGTGGAGCAAATGTTGGGAAAGCAATGCAATGTTACACCCAGACTGTTAACATTGGCTTAGTTCAGAGTGTCAGGATTTCACCCCAGTCCCTTCAGTTCCTTGTTTTATCATTTTTGGTAACATCAGAGGAAATAGAAAAAAATAGGGCCAAAGTAAGACTTTTAGAATAAGTATATTTAATACCCTTATAGCTTATGAGATAATATTCTTTCTGTAAAACAATTGGCTGGGAAATTTAGAAATTTAAAAGTTGATTTTCTAATTAAAAAATAAAGGTAGGAAAAAAGAATAAAATTTTTAGGAATAAATTTAACAAATGGAACACAAATCTTTATTGTTGTTGTTAATCCTTGTCCAAGTATAGTTTTCCATTCATTTTTAGAGAGAGTGAAAGGGAGGGGGAGAGACAGAGAAACATTAATGTGAGAGAAACACATGGAATGGTTGCCTTCCACACTTGCCCCAAACAGGGCAGCGCATGCACCCCAACCAGGGCTCGGGATTTGAGCCTGCAACCAAAGTATGTGCCCTTACTCGGAATTGAACCCAGGACCAGTCGGTCCACGGGCTGATACTCTATCCACTGAGCCAAACTAGCTAGGGCTGGAACACAAATATTATATGCTGATAACGTCAAAACATTGCTAAGAAAAAAAATTAAAGGTCTAAATAAATGGAAACACTCCATGTTCATGGATTGGAAGACTCAACATATTTAAGATGGTGATTTCCTCTAATTGATTTATAGGTTCAATGCAGTTGTCAAAATCCTAGCAGGCCTTATTGCAGAAATTACAAAGCTGATTCCAAATTTTATGTGGAAATGTGAATAGCCAAAACAATTTTGAGGAACCAAGTTGGAGGACTTATACTTTC